CTTTGTATTTTACCTGATTGATAGGAGGAAACATTGTGCCTTTATTCTAGATTTTTTGTGTGTGTGAGTCTGAATGATCCTCTAAAATGTCACTGTTTATTCATGTGTAACTTCATAAGTTTATGTGGATTTTAAATAATAGGTATGCCATGCTTTACTCTGTGGAATTTGACAGCTTATTTTGGTGTTTGTATCAGGGGGCATCTTCTGTACCAGCAGCTGCAACCTTGTCTACAGTGACATCTGGGGATCTGGATCTGTTCACCGAGCAAGCAAAATCAGAAGAAGTAGCAAAGAAACAACTTTCTAAAGACTCCATCTTATCTCTCTATGGTACAGGAACCATTCAGCAGCAAAGTACTCCTGGTAAGTAGCTTTTAAGATTTGCTTTGAGTGAATGCAGTGACATTACTAAAAGCATACCCTTTGTAATTACAATAGTATCAATTCTTTCCTCATTTCCATGGTTAGTACACACTTTGTTGTAGTCAACACAGCTATGAAACTAAAATGAACAGAACATTAGAGTTATAAGCATGCACAGGATTCACAAAACTTTATTCATTTAGATTTAACAAGGTGTTCACATATAAGTATTTCACAAGTTTACAGGACACAAACTGTCTTTAAAGAGTTACTGAAATTTGATTTACATGAAGTTTATGATTTTATGTACAACATATATTCTTTCCAGGTAAACAATAAGCAGTATGAATTATGTGGATTCCAGAAATGCTTTCAAAACTTTTGTAATTCTAATGAAACATTAGTGTAAAATTTGGTTAACACAATTTTAACTGGGTATACTAGTTCCTCTGCAGTAATGACTTGAATTTTACATATGTATGATCTGAAATTATATGACAACTTGTTGACTTCCATTTGTCTGATGCTGGGAGACCAATGGCTGGGTCATAGAAACAGCATATATTCCCATGCTGTGTAGTTTGGAAACATTTGTGTGGCTGTTGAACATCTATATTTCCTAATTAAATTTTATCAGGTTAATAACTGATTTGTCTACATTCTGAAAATAGTTGTGTAGCTGTGGGTTGGTCTGAACATTATGAACAGTCTGGAAATAAAATTGTTATAGATAATTCAGAAAGACAGTAATCCATTTTTTATGTGTATAAGTAACTACAGCTATTTGGAATAACCCTATGTTCTTACTTCATTTTCTATTCATGGTTCTTATGATACAGGTGTGTTTATGGGACCCACAAATATGCCATTTACCTCACAAGCACCGACTGCATTTCAAGGTTTTCCATCAATGGGTGTACCTGTGCCTGCAGCTCCTGGCCTTATGGGAAATGTGATGGGACAGAGTGCAAGCATGATGGTGGGCATGCCCATGCCCAATGGGTTTATGGGAAATGCACAAACTGGTGTAATGTCTCTTCCTCAAAATGTGGTTGGCCCACAAGCAGGAATGGTGGGACAGATGGCTACACCCCAGAGTAACTTTGGCCTGCCACAAGCGCAGCAGCCTCAGTGGAGCCTCTCACAGGTAAGGGTCATATTCTCCCCTACTTAACTCACATTTGAGACCATACCTAGATACCACGGAGTTGTATCAGATAGACACATGATTGGACATTTCCCCAGTTTATAGTTTTAATGAAGATTCCCTACTCTGTTTATAACCACTAACAGTTACCTTTAACTCTGTATATTCTCCCTTAGAATCAGGTGTTATAGTTTCCTGCTGTAACATTTTGTGATCTGTTTAGCCCAAACTAGCTGATAATTTGAGGTCTTTCTAAACCTTCAGAATACAAAAATAGCAAGCTTTATATTTTCTTTCTTAATAACTCATTTATTTGAAAGGCATAGTTAAGACACAGAGAAAAAGATATTCCATTTGCTGGTTCATTCCCCTAATAGCTATGAAGCCCTAGCTTGGGCTAGGCCAAAGCCATGAACTTCATCCTGAGCTCACTTGGTGGGTAGCAGCATGTGAAGTACTTGGAACCTCTTCCACTGCTTTCCCAGGTATGTTAGAAGGAAGCTCGATCCAAAGTGGAGCATCTGGAACTCAAGCTGGCACTCACGTGGTATGTCAGGGTCACAGACTGCAGTGTAACTCACTGTACCATAATGCCAGCCCCTAGTTTCCTATTTTTAATGCGGTATATGAGGAATCTGGGTGGTCTTCTGTGGGGTGTGGTTTCTGCCCATGGACTTAAAAACAAATACAACTTGAGTAAAAGAATTCTTTTAACACATTATTTAAATGTGAGTTTTATAAGCATCTACCAATTCCTGTGAGGTGTGAATAAGTTAATATTTGTCTTGGACCCTTTATACGAGTCCTGATTTCTACTTCAGTGGTTTTAAAGTGCATTCAGGTGCTGCCTTCATGGGCAGTGCCTCTCAGACCTAGGTTCTTATTCCCACACCCCTTTCTTTTACACTTGATATTTGTTTCCATTTAACTAGTTTTACCTTAAGACTCTTTGTCCTAATGTTACATTCTGGACTATTCCCTAAATTGATATATATTTCTATTCAGTTCCAAGGTATTGTTATCTGTAAGTATTTATAGGAGTATAGTTATAGTAAGACAATGAACTGTCCTCTGGGAGTCTCAAAATCCTTAAGTGCCAAATGTTACTAACTTCTGGTAAACTTAAATGGCCAACATGCTGGAGCATGTCCAGCTAAGAGGCTGGAGGAACAAATGGAAAGTTAACATTAGCTATTACTTCCAAATACTGCAGAAGAGGAATCTTTTGGTACATCAATGAGGTGGTTAAAGCAGTTCTTGTAGGTATAAAAAGGTGATCTGTCAGCAATGTGGTTAATATTAGTGTCTGCAAATTTCAAATTAATGAACTTCATTCAGTTCAGAACAGATTAATTGAACCCACTCTGTACTTCGTGAGTATTTTCCTTCTGATATTGCCAATTTTAGAAGAGAACCACAGAAGTTAATTGTATCTAAGATCATTATTGTAAAAAATTGAGATCTATGCAGTTTTCAATTTTAATTAGCTTTTTGAATATCCTTCATAGCATGGATTTCAAAAATATTTTGCTCTAAAATTCACCATTGAAATCAGTTTTTCATGAGCTTCTGAATATTTGTATACACACTTGACAAGACTATTAGAAAAATACACATAATTTTACACTTTATAGCATACAATGAAAATTGATTTTAGATACTTACATTGTGAAAACAGTGAAGGAGAATGTATGCTTCATAATATTTTAGGAAGGATGCAGTGCCATGTAGTGTTAATAGAGGATTTTTACAGCTATTAATAAAGTACTTTGGGGACTAAGAAAATTTTAGAAATAAGAGTAACTGGTTCATTGTATAATGACTAATTATAACATGTTTTTAAAAATTGTGGTTATTAATTTTTGAGGACAAGAAATTTAATGTAGAATGTGAATAGAACTGATAACATTTTATAGGTAGTGCTAAAATATGGAAGAAAATTAACAAGAGTGCTCTGTAAAGAAAAATTTCTGTTGTAGTCTGCTTTTACCTTAGATTTGACTTTCACATTAGTGCAAATAAACAGGAATGAAAAGTGAAGTAATCCTTTTAAACTAAGCCTTCTATGTGTTTCACAGATGAATCAACAAATGGCTGGCATGAGTATCAGTAGTGCAAACCCTGCGTCTGGTTTCGGCCAGCCCCCCAACACAACAGCAGGCTGGTCTGGGAGCTCTTCGGGTCAGACCCTCAGCACACAACTGTGGAAATGAAAACTGTAACACAAGTCTCATCCAGAACTAACACCTGACATTCCTTGCTAAAATGCATCTAGTTCCTGTTTAATCCATGTACATATAATTTTTTTCTTTTCCCCCATTTGTTCACATTAAGAATGATCTGACTTTGTTGGTCTGTTCTGATTAAGTTTAATGTGGTAAAAAGCGGGATGAAAAACCATTTTATGTCCAGGGCAGCTTTACTCATTTTTCCCATGATTTCATAAACTGCATTATTTGAGAAGCTGCTCAGTCAACTTGCATAATCAGTTTTACTCTCAATAAAATTATAGCTCTAATGTTTGCATATAAGGGAAGTAGATATCATGTTAGTAAAATACCTCTAACAGTATAAACCCTACCCCTAAATTAGCCAGTAATCCTATAGGAAGGTACTGTATGATCAAATGTTTAATCATATAAATAGAATGTAAATGTATCACTGAGCACTGTTTTCTAGTGTATCAAAATTCTTTTATTTCATCATTTCACTTCACTGTGCTGTTGTTATGATGTGCTTAACAGGGGACGTGGTTAAGTGAAAGGAAGATAAACCTGGATGTTACTACAAAATAATTTAGTGACTGTTTAAAGGATTCAAATCTTATCTGCCTCTTACAATTTGGATCTCTTTATGTACATAGTGCTAACAAAGACCTTTTCCTGCACTATATGCAAACAGGGTAACTAAAAGCCACTTTGAACCCTTAAAGTTATGTCCAGGTTTATGACAGTAATTGTGTTTACATTTTATGGTGCCTAGTATTGACAAAATGTTATTACCCTATATTAAACAGATGAATCCCAGGACCTTTTTATTTGTGGGTTTTATTTCCTATGATGTAAACTGCCACCAGCCTTCCAAATTTGACTTAATGTTGCAAAGTCAGGAACTGGGAAATTTAGTTGACAAAATACCTGTTGTGTGGTTCTAAAACCTGTTCAGTTCTACCAATGTTAAGATCAAATGGGGAGAAAAAAAGGATGGAATGATATCTTCCAGTGTCCTTTAGCAGTACTGTACAGAAATATTCAAACTAAGTTGTAAGGAATACATGCAGAACAAATGAAGACAAAATATACATTTTGTACCATCCAATTAACTTATGTTAACTGACAAGCTCTGTTTGAACAGATGTCCATCAGATGACAATAAAGGCTGTTGTACTGAAGTAAAATGAACAATACCTGAATGCTTTCCAGCCTAAACTCCAGACATCCTCTTCCACATTCCTGGGCTGGGCAAACTAATCAGTTGCTTCTTCATTTTATACTTCAATTTTCACTGTATCGAGGTGGTGTTTCGGCTCATTGGCCAAGTTAACCTTTTCTGTCCGAGTGTGCCACACAAGAACCTAAAGGGAATGGAAACATTCTGGGTAACATTCTAGGTAACTAATGCCTACACGCAGGATCAGGTAGCATAAGTGAAATGAATACCTTGGTGCAATTATTTGCTTTAGGTTCCAGTTCTTCCACTGTTGTTATCTGTTTTAGAAAGTCGGACTCTTGCATCCCTGGCTGGGATCCACGGCGTTTAAATACTGCTTTTGGATTGGACAAGATGACTTGAAGACTTACAGCAAATCCTTTGTGAAAGTTAAAAAAGAAAAAAAAAAACCCTTATAATGTTGGTGCCTATTTTTCCTTATGCAATTGTTATATCAAAAGCAATTTTTAAAATCTGTTTCAATTCTTAGTGTACAAAAGTTGAATATCAGTCTCACAAGGAAGGTTAATCGTTATTTAATTCACGATACAAGAGCAGTGCACAGTGGGCATGTAGTATAAAATATGGAGTTATTCTATAGATAATAAAGGGGGAAGTTTCCTTTAATGGTCTTATGAGAAATCATCAGTATGTAGTTCAACAAATTCTGTGCTAGGACTCAGCCCTACTGAATTAGCAAGTAATTGTTTTCAAAGTCCCAAGCTCTGGTTCTTCTTCCAGTTTTGAAGCCATGTGAATAAACACCCAGGGAGCATTTCTTGGCAACTTAGACTTTTTTGAAAAAGTACAGTTGGCAGTGTTAAGTACCAGATGACACTGGGCACTAATGGAGCAGCTATGAGGAAACCACATTTCCACAGACTCTCCAGTTGCAGCTCATTGGTCTAACCCTGCTGAGACAACTGCAGGTAGAGCATGGATTGAATCTGTATCAGGTCACCTTTTAAGTTGTTCCTTGGCAGATGAAAGTTCCCCCACCGCTGCTCTAGATTTCTGCTGCCTTTTTGGGAAAATTTTAACACCATGCTACAAAAACACACAACTTGGTCCAGCTGGTGCTGAGTGAAGCACAACAGAGAATTAAAAGGTGGCAGTCTTAGGACTGTCCCCACATCCTTCAATCCTGGAAGGAGGCAGCACATTCCAGCACAAGGAACACTGAAGCTGGAATTAGAAGCCTTTGTCTTGGCCAGTGTCCTAAATGCAAGGACGTAGGCAAACTGAGCTAACTTTCCTGATTCTCTAACTTCGCTTTTTAAACTATTATTGGGGGCAGGTGGTGTTTGCCACCATCTCCGCCTGCCAGGCAGTAAAATCCTGGGTGCCAAAGCCAGGTTACCTACATGTCACCATTCTGGCAACACATCTGAAGCTTTCCTTGGGCATAACTGGGATAGCACAGAACTTCAACAGAAAATCACAGGCTCAAGTTATTAAAAAAAAAGAAAAGCCACAGATTCAAGTATATAAAATGCCTTCTCGTACAATTCAGCTTTAATGTGAAGAGGTTTCTTTACAAAATGTGCTTATACGGAAAGTTCACATTTTATATACTGTCACACTGAAACTGTTCGTGCATTCATGTGACTTCAAGGGGGCTGATTTTATTTTTCTCATTTTCACATTAAAGTAAATCAGATTTAAACTGTGTAGAAATAATTTTGAAAATGATATGAAGGACTCTGATCAGATTTCTTTCATTTTCTCCTAAGACCGCTAACACAGGCACCATGACTGCTGGAAGTCTGAGATTCGGAGTGTCTCCTTGTCTTAACTCAGCAATGACTTTCCAGCTCCTGACGGAGTTGCCAGCAGCCCTGTTTGGCACAAGTGCCCTCTTTCCCAGCCTCCCTTGAGAGGTCTGCGCAACCAGGGGTACTCAGCCTTGCAGGCTCCTTGCCTTGAGGAATCAGAATTGGAAATTTGAGGAAACCACCACAATTAACAGTATTTGCAGACAGAGGTCTGGGGAGGAGACCCGAGTTGTTGAAAACCTGGAGAGAGCCCTCTGTAGACCAGCAGGGTTATGACAGCGAATAAAGCCTGCGGTCAGGCAAAGCACCCCTGGAGAGGTGCAGGTAGTGGATCAGCTACTGGTGCTAACTTAGGGTGGGGAACAGTTTACATTCTCAGTTGGGGGTACATGACAGAGTAACCAGAAGGTGATACAGCCACTGTGATATAAATTATGCCCAAGATAAAGACTAAGTATTTTTGCCTGAGATGAGCTGGAAAGGACTGCTATGTTTTACTCAAAAAAAGGCCTTTTTTGGGCCCGGCGCGATAGCGTAGTGATTAAAGTCCTTGCCTTGAACGCACCAGGATCTCATATGGGCACCGGTTCTAGTCCCAGCAGCCCTGCTTCCCATCCAGCTCCCTGCCTGTGGCCTGGGAAAGTAGTCGAGGATGGCCCAAAGCTTTGGGACCCTGCCCCCCGTATGGGAGACCTGGAAGAGCTCCTGGCTCCTGGCTTCAGATTGGCGCAGCAACAGCTGTTGCGGCCACTTGGGGCGTGAATCATCGGATGGAAGATCTTCCTCTCTGTCTTTCCTCCTCTCTGTATATCTGCCTTTTCAATAAAAATATATCATTAAAAAAGGACTTTTTCTTAATTATAAACGTTTTTAAAAATGAGTTACACACTTATATTATGCATGTCCACTTTGCATAAGCACACGTTTTAAAATTCAGAATGCCTGAGACAAAAGTTGCCAGATGTAGAGAGAAGTACGAAAGTCTAGCAGAGATACAGAATTACAGAAAAAGAACACTAAATGCATTGTAAATATATGCATGTGAGGTAGAAGATGTTAAAATCTAAACAAACATTGGTGAATAGATCATTACTAGACTTGGGCATATAACATTAAAAACTACAAAAATGAAACCACCCATAGAGATCATCACACAGATGCACACACGTGTGCCCGGTCACAGGAGGAGCCCGTGTTTTAGCTGCAGCTGGCTACGTCAGCACTTCTGGTGCTGGGATCCCACCCTAAAGCACTGCTTGGAATTCCAGCTGCTGCACTTTGACCCACCTCCCTGCTGAAGCCTCTGGGAAGGCCTAGGAAGTGGCTCTAGCACCTGAAACCTTGCCATCCAGGTGGGAGACACAGATGAAATTCTTCCTGGTTTCAGCCTGTAACAGCCAGCTGTTGTAGCTATTTCAGGAGAGAATGAGCAGTTAAAAGCTATCACATGTGCTTCACCTCTGCCTGTCAAAAATCTTTAGGACAAAAAAAAAAATTACTGGAGCTTACAACAAACGATGTCCAGACTTGGAAAACTGGGATATATAAGACTTAAGAACACTATTACCAACCTGACCTAAATGACAGTTTTTGAAACGCCCCACTCAACTGTAGCAGAATACACAGTCTTCAGGTACAGATGGAATACAGCATGTTCTTTGACCATAATGGAATAAAAATAGAAGTAATATCTGAAAAAGCGCTAAAATATTGGGAAACTAAACATTTTTACAGGAAATGTTTGTAAAGACAAAGGGGAAATAAAATATAGCTGCAAAATGAGAAATTTGAACTGAAAAGAATTGTTTCTGAATTGAGCACTGGAAAAGAGGGTCTCAATGTCCTAATATAAACTAGAAAAAGTAAATGAAATGAAGTAAATGAGAAAGGAAGGTACTAATATAAAAGCAGAAATCATTAAAATAGAAAAAAGTCAGTGAAATCAAAACCTGCTCTTTTGGGAAAAGTCAATAAAATTGTTGAGCATCAACTGGCTTTCAGGACACAGGAAAGCCATGAATTGCCAACACTGAAAATGAGACGATGATCAGTATGAATTCTGGAAGCACTACAATGATAGCAATGCAATATTACTCGTAATGCTGCAGCAAATTTGACAACTTACATCAAAATAGACAAATTACTTGAAAGTCAAACTAGCAAATTTCATTATGAAGCATAACCCAAAATAGCTTTCCATCAAATTTTAGTTAAAAATCTCACATATAAGCTGTAAGTCAAGTTTCTATATTATCAAACACCGAAGAAATAATAGTTTTCTAAGCTTTCTAGAAAACAGAAAAGGACGAAATGTTTCTCAAATCAATTGTATGACCTGCATTTTCCTGATGAACCAAAAGCTAAGAAAAACAGTGTAAGAAATCTACAGACCAGTAACTTGTCATGAATACAGAAAAATTCTCAAAATTTTAACAGATCCAACTATGCAGAGTTCCGTAATCATTACTCTGTGTGGCTTATCCCAAGATGGCAGATTTAACTTTTCAAAATCAGTCAATGTAGCTTGCTGTATTCACAGACTGAGAAAGGGTGCGTAATGACCGTATCTCAGCAGAAGAAATGCACTCAAGAATATCTAAGTTCTAGTCATGCTTAAAAGTGCCTCTCCACAAAGGTGGCAGTGTGCTTTATCAACTTCATAAAGAGTACTTATAAAAACGAGCATGGTGCAGTGTGTTAAACCACCTCTTAGGTGATGCCAGCAAGCCGTAACACAGTACTGATTTAATTCCCAGCTATTCTAAATCCAGTCCTGCATCCTGGCAATGTGCCTGGGAGGCAGCAAACAATGGCACAAGTACTGGAGTTCCTGCTACCCACATGAAGACTTGAATGGAGCTCCAGGCTGTTCCTGGCCCAGCGCTGGCTACTACATGCATTTGTGGAGTGAACTAGCAGATGGAAAATACATCCTCCTGTGTTTCTGTGTTTCCCTTTCAACTCGGAATAAAAGCATTAAAAATTTTTTTTCTTGCCAGCATTCTACTTAATGGGAAAGACTGAGTGCCGAAAACTTGAATGAGAGGAGGCTGGCTGCTCTTGGACTTACTCAGTAATTTTGCCATTGAAATCGGGGGGTGAGGGGTGGGTGGGAAAGGCAGAGGTTCAGTATTGTAAACCATTTCCCCTTTACCCACAGGTCAACAGCAGTGCTTAGTTAAGTCTCTCCATGTATTTGCCCTGCTTCTAATTCCTCTCCCACTACACATGCCTGCTTTCAGTAAGACTGTTACAAATAACTATTTTCCAATTCCTAAAGAACTGGCTTTTGGGAACAATATCTCTGTAGACTGCTCACAAGAAAGGTGCCAACAGCTTTTTCTCTGGAATCATTTGTTCCTGCTAATTGTACTAGATTTGGAGTTCTTGACACATTGTTGCCAGTAGGTATCAGGTACTTTCTCAAAGGTTGACTTGGAGATTATAATTAACATGCTGTAAAAGTCTAGTTTTGTCTAGTTTAGTAGTATAGAAAAACTTTGCTTTCATATATTCATACACTCTTCTCTTCCATCACCACTGTATTGCCAAATTAATTTTGTACAATGTGCCTCTACAATCAGATTTCTAATTACTGCTTTAC